AGGATTTAACCTCGTGTCAGTCCAAACTGCAGCTCCCAAGAGAAGCCTTTCCAACACTGTTCCTAATGACCTGCCTTGGGGATGGAATTTCAGGAATCATTGTAAATGCCAAAACCTGAGCTGCTGCACTGCTCTGGCCGGGTTGGAGCCCATCCTGTCCAGTTTGTTGATGAAGGTGAGGAAGGGGACGTTGTAACGCTTCATCTGCCTGTTGACAGTGATGGTCTGGCACTGGACTCCTCCCACAGCACAGAGAACCAGGATGGCTCCATCCAGCACCCTCAGAGACCTCTCCACTTCAATGGTGAAGTCCACATGGCCTGGATAACAAATACAAATAAAAATGATAAATGCACTGGAAAGGAGCAACAGCCAAGGGAATCACACTGAGTGACATCAGCTGAAGAGATGGAGCACAGAGTCACGGAATGGTTTGGGTGGGAAGGGACCTTAAACCCCATCCCACCCCTGCCATGGCTGGGACACCTTCCACTATCCCAGGCTGCTCCAAGCCCCAGTGTCCAACCTGGTCGTTGGCACTGCCAGGGATCCAGGGACAGCCACAGCTGTGCCAGGGCCTGCCCACCCTCCCAGGGAACAATTCCTTCCCAACACCCCATCTATCCCTCTGTCAGTTTGCACCCAGCACTCCATGTCCTACCACAACCAGGGACACAAAAGGTGCACCACATCCCCTGTATCCACGAGGAACAGCAATGCCCAGGTGCTGCCAGCTGCCCTGACCTGGCGTGTCGATGATGTTGATGTTGGTGTCCTTCCACATGGTGTAAGTGGCTGCAGACTGGATGGTGATGCCCCGCTGTCGCTCCAGCTCCATGGAGTCCATGACAGCTCCAACTCCATCCTTACCTTTCACCTTAGGAGAAATAAAACAATTAGTTCACGGAGTTTGCTAAGAATTCATATCCCATCCCTGGAGGTGTCCAAGGCCAGGCTGGAGAGGGCTTGGAGCAACCTGATCTGTGGAAGGTGTCCTTGCCCGTGGCAAGGGGTGGGATGGGTGAGCTTTAAGCTCTCTTCCCACCCAAACCATTCCATGACACTGTGAATCCACGTGCAGGAGTGATGCTGCACAGACTAAGCATCCTCCCTCATGCAGAAAAACAGAGTGTGGAGGTAAGTCCCAGGAATATCCTGGTGGGAGCTCAGCCTGACCTCGTGCATCTGCGCGATCCTGCCCGTGTAGAACAGGATCCGCTCCGTCAGCGTCGTCTTGCCGGAGTCGATGTGAGCCGAGATCCCGATGTTCCTGATCCTCTCGTTGGGAAGGACCCCCGAGGAGCAGTGCCTGCAGGAGGTCAGCAGGAGCTGCAAGGCAAGAGAAGGGCACTGCCTCAGCCAGGAGTGCATCCAACACAGCTCACAGGACACCAGGAATGGGACGAGGGGAAACGGCTTCAACCTGTGCCAGGGGAGGCTCAGGCTGGACACCAAGAGGAATTTCTCCATGGAAAGGGTGGTCAGGCTTTGGAAGGGCCTGCCCAGGGAGGTCTGGAGTGCCCATCCTTTGAGGTGTCCAAGGAATTCCTGGAGGTGGCACTCAGAGCTCTGGGCTGGGGACAAGGTGGGCATCGGGCACAACTGGGACTCGATGGTCTTGGAGGGCTTTTCCAGTGTCATTTATCCTGGGATTCACTGTGCCCATGGCTAAACGGCCAAACCGCTTCCCCACGGCTTCCTGTCACTCTGTGTCACGGGTCACCTGGAGCCGAGTGGCCTTTCCAGGGTCACCTCGGAGCTGTCACCGCACCCCGCGCGGCCCCTCCAGGCCCGCCCCGCTGCCCGTTCCCGGTTCCCCGTCCCCATCCATGTGACCGGTGCCTGCTCGTTCCCTGCAGCTGCTGCGGCCCGTCCGGGGCTGTCCCTCCGCCCTCCGTCCCTTCTGCTCCCGGCTCCCTCCCCTCCCTGGGGCGCCGTCCCCTCATGCGGGCGCGGGGCGGTCCCGCCGCCGGTACCTGGATGTGCCGCGGGCGGCCGGGGGCCAGCCCGGCCCGTAACACCCTGAGCATGGCCCGGCTGCGGCTGTGACTGCAGCCCCAATCCCGGCTCCGGCTCCAATCCCGGCTTCAGCCCCGGGTCGCTCCCGCCTCTTCCGGGGCCCCGCGCAGGCGCCGCGGTCCCGCCCGGCCCCTCACGGGCCCCTCCGGCAGCGGCGACACTGGGCGGGAACCCCGGGGGCGGAATGGAGAGGGGAGACTCGTGCTGCTCCCCCGGCCCCTCACGGGCCCCGCTGGGAGCGGCGGGAGCCGTGAGGGGAGAATGGAGCGGGGAGGCTCTCACCAGCCCCTCAGGGGCGGAATGGAGAGGGGAGGCTCTCATCACCCGGCCCCTCACGGGCCCCTCAGGCAGCGGCGGGAGCCGTGAGGGGCAGTGGAGAGGGGAGGCTCTCGCAGCCCCCCCGGCCCCTCAGGCAGCGGCGGGAGCCCTGAGGGGCAATGGAGAGGGGAGGCTCTCACAGCTCCCCCTGGCCCCTCACGGGCCCCTCAGCAGCGGCGGGAGCCCTGAGGGGAGAATGGAGCGGGGAGGCTCTCACAGCTCCCCCTGGCCCCTCACGGGCCCCTCAGCAGCGGCGGGAGCCCTGAGGGGCAATGGAGAGGGGAGGCTCGCACCGAGCCCATCCCGGAGCGCCCCGGGCTGGTCCCTCCCGGGAGCGATCCTGAGCCAGCCGAAGGGATTCCCGCTGTGCACACACGGAATTCTCCGACTGCGGCCTGAAAGGGGCGGATTTCAGCCAAAGCATGGAGCCGGACGGAGCCCGGCACCGGCGTCACAGCCCCGGGAGTGGAATTAGGAGGAATTAGAAACGAGAGAGCGGCGCTCCCTGGCCCGGGGGGTTTGAATTGCCGGGAAAGGGGAACACAAGGCTGGGATTGGCAGGAGGGCTAGTGGGGCACAGGGGTCCCTTTAGAACGCGCTGTTAATCTATTCTTGATACAAAATTACTCCCCGGGAGCTGCCTTTCATACCTGCAAAGGCTCCAGGAGCTGCTCGGAAACAGAGAGGCCCTCTCCGTACTCTGGTTGGTTCCATCGACCTTTATTTTTTGTGGAAAATGCATGGTCATGTGTGAATACAGGGATTTCCAGAGGACCCCTGAGTGGTTCTGCTAAATCCCATCCCATTCCACCCCTCCAGGGGCAGGGACACCGCCCAGAGCCCAGGTTTCCTTCACTGAACTGTTTCAAAGCAGCCCAAAGTAAGTAATGGCACGTCCCTGTGCAGTGCAGAATAAACCAACAAACCCCATAAATAATAAATAACTTTATTAAAGAAGTGCAGTTTCAGATGCTTTTACAGAGCACAGCTCGTGCCTTACATTGGAGAACAGTCTTGGTGTAGCAAAGGGATCTGGAGGGAATATTCACCTCTTCCCACTGTCATTTCAAACCCAGGATGAGCTTGTTTTATTTCACACAAAAATCCCAGTTATCAGGTGAATTTAACAGCAGCAGCTCTCCAAGATTCCTGCTCAAATTCCAACACAGAAAACATTGCTGCTGTTTATTATGAGAAGATTATCTCATAAATTAATTGCAGAATCCACCTTGTGGATGGAAAACGAGCCCCTGGGTTGAGCTCTGACTTTAAGGGGTGCCCAAGCTCCCCCGACCCCCACTGCTCATTAAACAGTTCAATTATTGCCATTAATATTGATCACATCAACTTATTGCCACTGGTGCTTCTCTAATTCAGGAAGAGACCACAAGCAAACAACTGTCCTTCCCTTTTCAGAAGTGCTGTTGACTGGGTTTGCACATTAATAAACATTAATTAAGTAAAATTAAATAACCTGGGGAAACTGTAGGAAGATTAAATATGATTTAGAGGCTTTTTGGCCAAACTAATATTACTCTTAACTTACTAAACCCTATTTTATCATCCAAACAGTACTTTTAAAGGCAACATTATCATGGAGCCTTGAATTTATGTAATGCTTTAATGTTACTAATTTATATTATTTCATTTACAGAAATTCTTTCTGCTACACCACAGGGATAATTCTGCATGGTACAACAGTACAGGGACTCAGCACCTGGACTCCCAGGTTTTTCCTGCTCTCAGACATTGCTGGTTCTTCTAAACTCCTACAAAATGTAGATTTAGGGTCATTCTACCCTCAGTAAAACACACAGAACACAGAAAGGAGAGGGGTTCCTCTATCCAGGGCTCTTTGGAACACAAAAAATGGTGAAATCATTCCAGTTAAACTCATTTCTCCCATCTATTTTTCCTATGAGTAACTCCTAGTTGCAGCTGATCTCAGGACACTGTTATTACCACAGGATAATTAATTAAACACTACAGACAATCCTCAAAATGGAAAATGATGGGCTAACTCCACAGGAAACAAAGGATCAGGAAAACAAAGTTGACAGTTCAGGCACAGGAAATGAGGTGCAAGCAACAGCTTATTAACATAAAAACTCTGATAAATGACACTACAGACAATCCTCAAAATGGAAAATGATGGGCTAACTCCACAGGAAACAAAGGATCAGGAAAACAAAGTTGACAGTTCAGGCACAGGAAATGAGGTGCAAGCACAACTTATTAACATAAAAACTCTGATAAAGTATTGTCATATTTCAGTACTCCCCCTCATTTTATGTTACACCAAGGTGAGTGTGGGGGTTCTGTAACAATTTATAATATGATTTTAAAGTAGTGCTTTACAGTGTATTCAAGTTCTTTTAATTAACCTAGAAAACCAGTAATCATTATTTCAGCAACCCAAAATAAAGGAAATTTGCTTTCTGTACAACTCAGAGTGGGAAGGAGCAGCTGCAGTACCAGGCTTAGTAAAGCCTGAGGTTGGTGCAGCTGGAGCACAACAGCTCTGCAAATCCAAGCTGGTTTTACCAGGCCTGGAGATGTTCCATAAAGTGCTTTTAGGCAGAAAGTTGTTGGGTTGGAGTTCACTGAGGAGCTGAGGACACTGAGAAGCAGGAGGAGCAAAGGCACAAAACACAGAGCAGAGATTGGTCACAAATCCAGGTGTATTTTATGGACACGAGCACTGAGCACCATCATCTACCCCAGGGAACCTCCATCCTCAGGGAATGGGGACAGTTACTTCCTGGAGCCCTTCAGGGGGAGAAGTGTTCCTTTCACACTGAGAGCCTCCAAGGAATCCCTGGGCACTCTGGATCCTAGAGCTCCAAGTGGCTTCTCTCTGGAAAAAACAACAACAACAACGCTCACAACCTCCGTGAAAACAGGAGGAATAAAACCTGCAGTTCCCCTTGGAGCATTGCTCCACAACTGGATTTTCCTTCTGCTGCTGGAATTTCCTTATCCTGCAGAACAGCAGGGAACTGTTTTTACCTTCTTGATCCACCTTCCCTGGGGCTGTTACGGACACTTCTGGGTCTTGAAGCCTCCACAGCTTCTCTGCTTCGGCAAGGCCTGAACTTCATGACCTCCTTCTGCCACTCCTCATCGAAGGTGCCAGCCTCAGCTGGAAAACAGACACATTTATTTGAAATGGTAATAAAGAGAGGAAAAACATTTAATGAGAATTAGGGGCTTTGGATAGTGATTTTAAACTTTGTAGTCCACAGTTCTGCGCATGGCCTGCCACTGTTTTTGGGATCTATAAAAGAGAATTTGGATTTGGAGACTTCAGTTAAAAAGTGCCTTTTAAGATATCTCCAGCTGGAACTTCCAAATCAGAGTGTGAAACAGTGTGAAGCCCATTAGCTGCCTAAAAAGACCTACATTCATCCATGTTGATGAATTCTTGGTTCATCTCCTCATCCCCAGTCCTGGAGTTCCTGGATTTTTTGATGACATGAGCCCGATCCTGGATGTGGTGACCAACAGCTATTTTTTCCAGGCCACTTTCAGAATCCTTCAGTGCTCTTCTTGTTTCTTTAACCTGTTTTTAAAAAAGGTAACTGAGTGTCCTTCCAACTAAAAATGAGACAGAGTTTACAGAATCCCAGGATGGTTTGTGTTGGAAGGATTCAAAGCCCATCCCGTGACACCCCTGCCCTGGCAGGGACACCTCCCCCTGCCCCAATGTCCAACCTGGCCTTGGGCACTGCCAGGGATCCAGGGGCAGCCCCAGCTTCCCTGGAAGAATTCCCTTCCCATCTCCCATCCAACCCTGCTCTCTGCAGTGGGAAGTCATTCCCACTTGTCCTGGCACTCCAGGCCCATGCAAAAGGTTAAATCTTCCCCCAACAGTTTTGTATCTTTCCTTTACACAAGTCAGGTCTTCCAGGCTTTTCCAATTCTCTCATTTCCTGTGTTGGCTGCAAACACACCAACCAACCCCAAATAAAGCCTGTTTTCCTTTGGCTGCCAGTGAGGAAGATGTAACAACACCTCAAGTTTTTTAACTGGGTATTAATTACTGGGGCAAAACCCCTCAGTTTAAAAATGCTACAGAGCCAAGTTTCCAACATTCTCCTTGGCAACAGAAAGAGCAACACCTGATGCCAAATTCCCAGCGTGAGGAACAACCAGTTACTGGGCTGTGGTGCTGACTGGCTTGGAAGGCAGGCTGGCCCTTATCAGTGTCCTGGGCTATTCTTAGAAGCCTTGTGATAACGGGTGTGCTGGAGCTGGGACACATTCCCAGCCAATCCTGCCCACGGCCTTTAGGGATCCTGTCTAGGCTTTCATGGGCCAGGTTCACATTCCCACTCCCAGTTCCCAGCAGGATTAGACACAACAGCTGCAAGGGAGCTGCAGCTCAGGGTTATGTAAGTGTCTGGCTGCTTTGAAGGCAGGGGTTACATAAATCAATGTCTCTCCTGGAGTTTAAGTGGACAAGGAAAAGGATTCATGACAGCAAAGAGAAGGGCACTGGAAAATTGCTGCTCTGTGCTGGGTTTTCCCAGCCTTGGATGGGTCTGTAATTTATTTTGGGGTGTACTTAAAGCACAGAATTACAGGGAGGGAATCAGACCTTGAATACAGAGCAGGGTTTGAGAGCCCTGTGTTTTCCTCAATCCCTAAATTTTCTTTGTGCAGTCAGGCTTTGCTCCCAGGGAACAGGGACAGGAGGAGAGGGAATGGCCTCAGGCTGAGCCAGGGGAACCCCAGGGTGGACACAGCAGGAATTTCCCCATGGAAAGGGTGAATAAACATTGGGAGGGGCTGCCCAGGGAGGTGTGGGGTGCCCATCCCTGGAGGTGCCCAAGGAATGCCTGGATGTGGCACAAGGTGGGGATCAGGCTCAATCCAAGCTCAGTGATGCCAGGATTCTGTAAATTCCAGGAGTAACTGCAGGAAAAGCAGCTGCAGACACTGCTTTGGTGTGGCTGCACCTGAATCCTGGGCTGGATCCCAGCATCACTCACCCCTCCTGGAGCCGTGCGGGTCTGGGCTGTGGCTTGGAAAACTTTGGGAGGTTCATCCCCCACTTTGGAATAGGTCATCATGGAGGAGGAGCTGAAACTGTGTCCCTCAGGCTGGATGGACAGGTCATCCTACAAACAAGGCACTCATTAGTGGAACTTAAAACTTGTGGGTAGGAGTTATTCCTTATTACTTTATTATGGAAAATATCCCTTCACAAAATTAACCCTCCTGGCACCACATAAAACTTCAGTTTCATCTTCAAAGAATAAAGAAAAATTATAAACACAATATAATCCGGGCAAAACCCCCTTTAATTCTTACTGTTTACTTGAGATTAGTTTCATTTTTCTTGGCATTATTTTCTGAGGCACATTTGAAATAACTGGCACTCTCCAGTGCAATAAATTTCAGAATGATTTTCTAAAGAACTCACAAATTTCCTCTGCATTTCCAGCATGCTGTTTCTCATGTCTGACATCATCCTGTCCATTGCAGAAAATGGATCCATTAACTGTGCATCCCACTAAAAAAAGGGAAACAAAAGACTCCAGTTAAAGCAGTCTCATCTCTCCCAGTCCTGAAGCTGGATTTCACATGCACTTTTAACTCAAAAAGCTTTTCAGACTGCACTTCACACACAGACAAGCCAAAATGCATCTTTTCAAAAGGAAATTGAGGGAGTTGAATGGATGGAAATATTGGGAAGATGAAAGTGGAAGATTTGTCACTCAGGTGTCAGACTGGCCACAAAATGAGTTTATTTAACAAAACTGTTCCTTGGATATTCAAATATCCAATTCTTTCACAAATGTGTTCCTAAACCTCACCAGCTTCTGCTCTGAAAGTCCTGTATGAAATTCATTTCCAGAGTTATGCACTTCAGTGTTGCAAAATTAAAGCTGCATTTGAGCTCAAAATCAAGTTAAATTAAAGGACAGAAAACCTTCAAGTTATTTTTTGAGTACAAGAAATTGGAATCCTCTGGGCAAGAGCCATGGATAGATGCTGGATATTTAACAGGCTATTCCAGCCCCCCAAGCCACAGCTGGAAACCACTCCAAGCCCATCTCCAGGGAGCAGTGGGTTTGTGCCACCCCCACAAAAGCATTCTCCAGCTGCAGCTTCCCCAGGGATCATCCCATCCATACCCAGAGGTTAGTGCCCCAGGAAGGATTTTTTTCCCTGGATTTTCTTATTCCCAAACTGCAAACAGCACCAAAAGCAGGATGCAAGCACAGAGCTCAGCTTCTGCCATGCTTTGGTTACACACAGCTTACACAGGAGCTACTCCAGGGATACTAACCCCTCTCCCAAAACCTGCAAATGGCATGAGGGAGAAGCTGGTGGCCTGCAAAAAAAAGGAGCAACATCTGGAATTTTTAGCAGGAACAGCAGAAATTACTTTTATATGAAGCAGATTACATGAAACATTTCCCATCTAACAAAATCACTCAGGAGGGCCTTGGTAATTAATGAATTAATCCCTGGGTATGTGGAAATAATATATTTATACTGATGACATGAGAAAATGATAACTGCCACCACATCTAATAAATATTGATAAGAGTGTGTGAAAAGCACTGCGAGGTTGGCAAACATTTGAACCCCACAAGAGCCTCAGTGCTGATTTCACACTTCAGGCCCCACCCTGCAGTGCTCCATTCCAGTCAGGCAGCACTGAAAGCTGATTAAATCAACAAATCATCAAATTATCCCACGGATACTGAGGACTTCTGCCTGGCAGGGCAGTGAGATCCTGGGAAGCACAGGGGTGTTTCCAGGAAAGCCAGACTGGAGAGTCAGATAAGGCCTGCAGACTCACGGGGTGCCAGAAGGACCCAGCCCTTGGCAGGAACTTTAATGGAAAAAGAAGGAATTCTCCAGTTCTGGAATAGCTTTGGGAACTCTTCAGGTTTCTGGCAGGACAGATTGGGCAGAGCTGTAAATAATAATATGTATTTTTTCTCTCAATATCAAGTCCTCACCAGTAAGAGTTATTGGGCATACAAAGCTTATAAACTCTGTTTTGTAACACTAAAATGCCACTAAAAGCTGTTAAACATTTGCTTGGTGCACAGGATAATCAGATATCCCAAAAAAAAACCCCAATTAACAGCCTCTCTTATTATGTTGTAGCTCATTCCTCCTGCCCTAAAAACTGAACTACAAACCTGCTGGAGAAAGGAAAAGCAGTTTTAAATTTGAATCCTACAGTGGCACTCCTTGAGCTGTCCCAACTAATTTGGTTCCTTTTAAAGCAGTTTTAGGCCTGCTGCAATTTAATTAAAGACACAGAATTACAACACTACTAATCAGTATCAGTAATTTGAATGAAGTGTATTTTGACATGATAGCAAAGCTCCACCTCTTCCTACATGAAAATGTAATTTTAAGGGTTTCAGTCCTTGGTGGAGCAGCAGTTTGAGATGCAAAACAACCAGTGCTGAGTCTGGTGTGACACCTGACAGCTCTTCAGTGACCAGGAGGAACATCAGGAGATCCTGGGAAGGGTTTGGCAGCTGTGGAATTCTTTTAACACAGAGCTCCTGCACCTGTAACTTTTGCTGCAGCCACAGATAAAGGGTTTGGGCCTCACCTCTGTCCCTCACTGCAGAACAGGGACACAACCCCTGAGCTGTGACAGGTTCTTGCTCTGATCTGCTTTAGGCACCACTGATCCAAGCCTAAGGATCAGCAGAGGAAAGCTGATGCCCAGTTTAGATGCAGTTTCTATATCTGCCAGGAATGGATGAGCAGGGGAAGGAATGTGCCAGCTCCCCTCTGGAGCTGCAGGTGACAGGCTCTGTTCCAGCTCTGGCCTGGCCAGCAGCCCCTGTCACCTGCTTCTTCTTCAACGGCCTCTGAAAATCCCGTGGGAAGCATGAAAGGAGCAGGGAGGCAGCTGCTGAGTATCTGCAGGGAAAGGAACCAGCTCCCAACGTTCATCCTCTATAAATACAGCTCTAGATAAGGGTCAGATATGATGGTCCTGCATGCCCAGAGCTGAAAAAACACTTCAATTAAACACAGACCATCAGTTTCACTGGGTAACACACAGAAATACTGAATTCCACACCAATTTCCCTGAGCTTTAGTTCTTACAGGTTTGTATCTGAGAGAATGTCCCAAATTCAGAGCATGAAGTGTTTATTCCCAGATGCAAAGCTGAAACAGGGTTTAAAATCCATGGATATTCCTTCCCGAGGTGGTGAAACCCAGGCTTGTGGAAATCAAACTGAAACAGCTGCACACAAGGGACTGAAATGCACAAATATATCATGGAATTGTGGAATGGGCTGGGTTGGAAGGGACCTGGAAAGAACCTGGCCTTGAACACTTTCAGGGATAGTGCAGCCACATCCAGGCACCTTTTAAAGTCAAGTTAACACGAAAAGGAAAAACCTGTGCAGAGAATGCAGGACACTCTTAGTGCCTTTCTCTAACAGAAACATCTAATGCATTACATTTATGAGAGCAAGCACTGGGTGAGTGATCAGTTTGTTCACTAAATGTCTGCTCAGCGATCTGTACAACCCAGCCGGATGTTCAGCAGAGATAAGGAACGCGCCATGAGGAACCTTCCCATTCCCGAGTGATGAGCAGCTGAAGCAGGCTCCAGGAGCAGAGGCAGCCCGATTCCCAGGGAATGCCCGATTCCCAGGGAATGCCCCTTTCCCAGGGAATGCCCCCTTCCCAGGGAATGCCCCTTTCCCAGGGAATGCCCTTTCCCAGGGAATGCCCGCTCCCCAGGGAATGCCCCTTTCCCAGGGAATGCCCCTTCCCCAGGGAATGCCCCTTCCCCAGGGAATGCCCGCTCCCCAGGGAATGCCCCTTCCCCAGGGAATGCCCCTTTCCCAGGGAATGCCCGCTCCCCAGGGAATGCCCCTTTCCCAGGAAATGCCCTTTCCCAGGAAATGCCCCTTTCCCAGGGAATGCCCGCTCCCCAGGGTCACTTACCCTGCGGGTGCCCCTCGTGGCCACCTGCGCGTCCTGCTGGGCCCTGCCGCCCGCTCTCCTCTCCGCCGGTGTCCCCCCTCCCTCCGGGAGGCTCAGGAAGGGATCCCGCCCAAAAGGCTCGGGGAAGTTCCTCATCATCTGCCTCATGTGCTCATGGTGGGCAGCAAAGGGATCCCTGCACGCCAGAGAGGCACTGCGTTATTCCAGCTGATAGGAAATGGCTCCAGGATAGTTCAGACTCTGATTTTTAATATTCCAGAGGGGTTTTTTAAGCCAAAAATTTTACTTTAATAGGACCCAACCGGGCGATCTCCCATTCCCAATAAACTCTGGCTTCCTCTTGCACTCCCATCTCTCAGGTTGGCTGTTTGAGATCTGTTTTCTCTCAGCTGCCCTCACTGCTCTCCTGGCTGTCCCTGTTCCTGTTCCTCATCTTCAGAAATATCCACCCTTGGCTGCACCTTTCACTCCAGCCTGTGTTTAATACCTGCCATAACCATAAATTGGCCCATATTTTATTTATCACCATTTCCACCTCCAACACCTGACATTAAAATAATTTCTTTTCAATTTTCCCCCTTCATATTCCAAAGTTTAGCACAGTCCTACTCACTGAACTCCTCATTTATCTTGCTGGCAGTTCCCATCCTAATTTTCCTTCTCCCTTTTTCTTTCGTCCCACATGCTTAAAAATACCCATTATCCTCTAAATTCAGGCCAGTTCCATCTCCTATAGTCACCCCCTGCTGCACCTGTGCCTTCCCTCTCCACAAATCCTGTCCCCACATCCCTCTCCTGTGCTTGGGAAGGAGATTCTCACTGGCTTTTTGTTTACCTCTTATTTTCCCTCTCCTCTGCCAAAAACCTACAGAACTCCCCTGGTATTCCCAAAGCTTGGCTTGCAAGGAGAACCTTGCTCAACTTCCCTAATTCTCTAAACTGGACAAGCCCTGATATTCCTAATTAAGGCCAAAAGAAGAGCAAAGCAGGAACTTTTCGGGAGGGCAGGGTATGAGCAGTGCTGCTGCCTGAGGGCCAGGCTGCAGATAATGAACACTTGCCACACAAATGAACACTTGCCACACAAATGAACACTTGCCACACAAATGACCCTGCTTTATTTCCTCCTTCCATCTCATCTTCCTCTTTGCCATCCCACTGAAAACACTTTATTACCGTGCACAGTCACTTCCCAGGCATGGTTATTTGGGTTTAATACACCTCATCCTCCTTCCCTCCCTCAATTCTGGCACTCCTCGCACCCCCCAGGACAGCACAGCCTTTCCTGGAACATCTCAGGAGGAAAAGCTCAGGATGCTCCTGACTTTTCCCTGCCCAGTTATCTCCCCAGCCCTTATCTCCAGCCCCCTGAACAGCAGCTCCCACATCACGTGGCTGCTTTGGTCTTGTGCCAAAGTCACACTTCATGTTTATTTTCTCCCCTTTCAAGTGAAAAAGACAAACACGAGGTTGGATTCATTTTGAAATAAGATTTTTTTTAACACAGAAATATCCCTTTATGCTATACCCAGACTTAAACTCAGCCCAGAAGAGACTTTTGAAGTGTTTTAGTGATGCCACGGAGCAGCCCCTGCTCTGCTCCCAGCCTTGGCTCCAGCCCTGGCTGCTAAAGAGCTCACCCAGGCCAGGATGAAGAACAGATGGAAAAAGTGCTGGCATGAGCCAAGGACAGGGAATCACACCAGCAGCACCTCGGGGTGTGCACAACTCCAGCAGATCCCAAACCCCAGAGAGGTTTGGTTACCACACACAAAGAGCTCCTTGGTTCCAGGGGCAGGGAAATCAGACACAAACTGAGGAATGGCAGGCTCAGGAACAGGAGGAAAGGCCCCCAGTTCCCGATTCCAGGGAGTCATTAATAGAAAGAATTCATGCTGTCAAGCTTCACAAGAAACATCCCAATTTTGGTATGATCTGGAGTAGGGTAAAACCAATGGAAAGGGAACAGAAAATCCATGTGGAAGACAAGGTTTCCAAGGAATTAAACCCTGGTGGTTCCAATGAGTGAAACCCGAGCCAGAATTCCAAGAGGAGGAGCTCACCCTGACAAACAGAGATGCACTGAGCAAGGCAGAGTCTCTGCAGGACACCTGCAGGATTTGAAGCTCCTTGCTCCAAGCACAGATTTTATGGGATGGCAGCAGGTGTAGGACACCCTAATTCAACAATTTTTGACTTAAATATGACCTTTTTTTTTGGGGGGGGAGATACTTTTGATGAGAAGGCTGTGATTTTTGTTATAGCATGGAAATGATGAGGAGAAAGTGAGGGGTTCACAGGGCTTTGCACACCAAACCTGTGCCCTTCACATACTGAACACTAAATTATTTTTAAAATTAAATTCTGGATGGAGACAAACAATCAGTACATTTATTCTTCCAGCACTCTGCAGTAACAGAATTTTGTCTAATATAATTAACCTGACCCTCACCTGACATGAAACATGCAAGTGTAACATTACTGCTTACTTCAGTGCATGAAAAATCAGTCCTAGAACAATAAATCCCACTTATTACTTCTGTAAACTGTACTTGGTATTAGATGTGTTTCTTTTTATTAGATATTAGATGGAAATATTTGGTTTTTATTTCCCCACTCAGGAAGTTATCAGCTGCAGATTCCCTCTGGAGAGAGCACCTGGCACAACAAACTGCAGAGAATGAAATGCAGAGTGTGCAGCTGGCAGGGCAAACACAGCTCCTGCACCTGGGCAGGGTTTCAGGGATGGAGCCCAGCACCTTTGGGTGAGTGACTGCTGCTTCCCTGGGACAGCTGCTCCCACAGGGGCTCCAGCCCAGGCACTATTTCCAGTTCAGCCCCAAACTCTCTCCTTATGAGGCAGCTGGAGCCCATTATGACTCTATTTTGGAGGCTAATCTTATCTGAGGTGATCAGCTCATTTCCTCCACTGTATGCAAAGCAGCCTGACAGGACAGTGCTGACAAAATGAGTCTCAATTTCCAGCTCATCTTTCACACACACTCCCTGCCTCCACCTCCTGCAGTCCTTGTGGCTACAATAACAAGGAACAAATTAATAAATAAGCAAATGTTATTTCAAACAAGACATAATTTCTGTTGTTACTTTAATTTCATGCAGAGGATTTGCACAGGGAAGTTTCCTGCATAGAACTCATGAGCTGTTATAACAGCAGGAATATTCCTAGAAACCAAGAGTGCTAATCTGTGTGGCACAGCTTTGGGAATTCTCCTGGAATGTGCTGCAGCTCAGCAGGAGATTCTCCTTTAAGCAGCCCCAGCCAGAGCTCCCAGTAACCAGGAGATCCAGACAACAAACCACATCACAGGGCCTGCTGCTCCCTTCCTCACCCACCCCTTATCCTGGCTGCTGATGGAATTCCTGAGATTTTTTTCAAAGATTTAAAATAATTATTGAGGCTCCTCAGCGTGCTCTGATCCCATTTTCATTCACTACAAATCACAGTTTCTGACCAAAGACAGAAATGGGGCCAGAGCAGGTAATTCAGCAGCCCTGGCTGAGGGGAGAAGCATTTGCATCACTCACTACTTATATTTAGATTCCTGCGGCAAAAGAAGATTCCCACAGGGAATAAACTGGGCTCAGACTTGAAATCACAGACAGGAGCCACCACTCTGCTCATGGCGTGCAAACAGAACCACAGAATGGTTTGGGTTGGAAAGAACCTTACAGATGGTCCTGTTCCACCCCTGCCACGGGCAGGGACACCTCCACCTCCCCAGGCTGCTCCAAACCCTCTCCAAGCTCCAACAATTCCAGGGATGTGGCAGCCACAGCTTCTCCGGACAACCCGTGCCTCACAGGGGATAAAAACCCAAACTGCCAAGGTAAATAAAGCAGCACCGTCCCCTCGGGAAACGAGCACAAGGAGACAATTTGCCATCAGTGCCCTCACACACACGTCGGCAAAGTTTTAATTGAAGGACACCCGGTGCTCTGAGCGGGGCTGGCACTGGGAAGAGCTCAGAGACAGCCTGCGGCCAAGGGATTAATTAAACCCGCACATAAACCCGGGTGAGCTGCGCTGCTCAGAACCCGCACTCAGGGCACTGAGGAGCAAACACGCTCCAGAGTCTCCAGCCACGGGGGTGCAGATCTCCTCGGTGCGAAAGGCGGGTTAAACCCTGCCCTGCTGAGAGGGGAGGCAAACGCAAGTCTCGGCTGTTGAACCTCGTTTAACCCCGGCCCGGCTTCAGGGGGGCTGGGGCGGTACCGGCGGGACCCACGGGCGGTCCAACAGCCCCGACAGCGGCTCCTGCACCGGCACCGACCCTGTAACCCTCCCTGGTAGCGATACCTGCCCCGGTCCCTTTCACCGGCACCGACCCCCGCGGCTGCCTCAGCCAACGGTCGGTCCCACACGGCCACCCCGCCCGCCCGTTCACACCCCGCACCGGCCCGTCGGAGCCCACCGCCGCCTCCGCTCGCTCTCGGCCGGTCCCCCTCCGCCCCTCCGCTTACGGCACAGCCGCCCGGCCCTCACCTGAAGAAGGGATCGTCCTCGAAGCACCTCCCGAGCCCCCCGAACATGGCGGCGGCCGCTCCGCTCTGCGCGCCCCCGGCCCCGCGCGGCCCCTCCTCACCGCGCCGCTCCGCCCCGCCCGCGCACGTGACCTCCACCGGCCGTTCCCATTGGTCGGCGCGCCGCGAGGGGGCGGGGCTTCTCCGCACGCCGCCGTTGCCGTGGCGACCGCGGGGCCGCCGCTCCAGGAGGGCCCCGGGAATCGGGAAAGTTCTGGAAATTCGGGAAATGCGGGAAAGAATCGCGGGAATCGCGGCCTCGCCGCTCCTCCCCAGCCCCGCTCTGCCTCGGGCTGCGCGCCGCTCCTGGGGAGTGCGCTGCGAGGCGGGGACAGGCCCGGCCTCAGCGGGGCTGCGGCGCGTCCCGCTCCGCGGCGATTTGAGGAAAAATCCAGTTTTTCCAGTAGATGGCAGTCAAATAAAGCTGCGGCCTCCTGCCAGCGGCTGGGAACCGCGGAACGGGGGAAAGAGCGAGAGGCTGGGGTGAGGTACCCAGAGCAGCTGTTCCAGGGGTCCAGCGTGGGGAGGGCCGGATGGACTGGGACTGGGATGGACTGGGACTGGGATGGGCAGGGACTGGGACTGGGATGGACTGGGACTGGGACTGGGATGGACTGGGATGGGCTGGGACTGGGATGGGCTGGGACTGGGATGGGCAGGGACTGGGACTGGGATGGACTGGGACTGGGACTGGGATGGACTGGGATGGGCTGGGACTGGGATGGGCTGGGACTGTGATGGGCTGGGACTGGGATGGGACTGGGATGGGCTGGGACTGGGATGGACTGGGACTGGGATGGACTGGGATGGACTGGGACTGGGATGGACTGGGATGAGCAGGGACAGGGATGAGCAGGGACTGGGATGAGCAGGCTCTGGGATGAGCAGGGACAGGGATGGGCAGGGACTGGGATGGGCTGGGACTGGGATGGACTGGGACGGACTGGGATGGGCAGGGACTGGGATGGACTGGGACGGACTGGGATGGGCAGGGACTGGGACTGGGACGGACTGGGACTGGGATGGACTGGGATGGACCGGGACTGGGATGGACTGGGATGAGCAGGGACAGGGATGGGCAGGGACTGGGATGGACTGGGACGGACTGGGATGGGCAGGGACTGGGACTGGGACGGACTGGGACTGGGATGGACTGGGATGGACCGGGACTGGGATGGACTGGGATGAGCAGGGACAGGGATGGGCAGGGACTGGGATGGACTGGGACGGACTGGGATGGGCAGGGACTGGGACTGGGACGGACTGGGACTGGGATGGACTGGGATGGACCGGGACTGGGATGGACTGGGATGAGCAGGGACAGGGATGGGCAGGGACTGGGATGGACTGGGACTGGGACGGGGATGGACTGGGATGGGCAGGGACTGGGATTGGGATGAGCTGGGATGGACTGGGACGAGTAGGGACAGGGACGAGCAGGCCCTGGGATGCTCCAGTGGCTGCACGGGGCTCCAGGGCACGTCCCCTTCCCAAGGCTCTCATTGTCCCCTCCCTGCCCTGCTCTGGGTCACAGGTAAAAGGAGTCTTGGTTTTAGCAGAAGCAGATAAAGGGAAAGCCCCCAGCAAACCTTTGGAATTGTTGTCAAAGGGAGGTTTCAGTAAAAGCACGGATTTGGGAGATCTCTCCCAGCCTTAATCACAAGATATTTTGAGAAGATGGAGTTCCAGGAGTGGGAGAATTTGCAGAATTTTGTATTT